TCAGCCAGCAAAAGCTTTCAACTTTGGCCCAGGGTCTGTCTGTTACAACATAAGAAAAATCATTTTCCTAATCTTATTGGAGTCTGTTTTTCTTTAAAAATATTCCAAAATCATCCAAACAAAAGATATTTAAAAAGGGGCAAAATTACATCAGACTTGTTTTTAGGTAATATATCTTAAATTTAATTAATTTTTTCTTACCCACTGGCAAATAATCTGGTCCTGTTTTCATCATAAACCTCACTAGTTTAGTACATTTATGGTTAAAAAAAAAACAATATTCCAATACAGTAATAAAAGTAATTCAAAATATATAATAAAAGCCTTAATATCTGAGCAAAAAAAATTTATGCAGTATTGCTTTTTGCTTCTTAGATGTTTTTTTTTTGTTTGTGAAATATCTTACAGTATGGCTGTTTTGAGAAGTCTTCACACCACACTGCAAACATCCAAACAGAATGGAAAAAAAACACTCCCAACCTCATAAACGCTCAGCCAGTACACCACATTCAGTTTGGCAGTGATTTTAAGACATGTCTGACTGCTTATCCCTTAATAACATCATCTAATTCTGCTATGCCTATTTTCCATCCTGATATTAAGGATACACACTATAAACAGTACAGCAAAGGAATAACAAATGGATTTCTGAATGTTACAGTACATTTAAACCTCAAGAATTCACACCTTAACTAAAACCCAAAGGAGTCACGAAATAGAAATATGCATGTATCTATCGAAACGAGACGGCGTGATAGCACAGCCGGTGACTCAGACTCTCGGTTAATAAATCAGAGTGGATGAGCATCAAGTGGAAATCTGCAGACCGCTCATGATTATCATACAAACACTGTACAGACCAGGCTCTCCATGCTGACCCAGTGGCCCTGAAAACATTCAGTCTAAAAATGACTCAGAAACACACAAAAAAGAAAGAAAGAAAGACTAGGAAGAACCTATTACATAAGTCATACGAAGTTATTCTGAGAAGAAAATAATATTTATTGCTACACAGCGACCTAGTTATTTATAAATAAAAAACAAGGGGGGGAAAAAGGATTTATAAACAACAAAAACGAATAAAAATGCCAAAACACAGCAAATTTATTAACATTTTAGGTTACACTTTACTAGAAGGGGTGTGCATAAGACTGACACGACACCTTCATAATCATAACATGACACCTACATAATCATGACATGACACATGTCATGAATATGAAGGGTTTTTATGCATGTTTATGACAACTGTCATTAAGTGTCATTTGCTCAGTTATGTCATTTTTAATGCAAAGATGACATTGTTTGAGATGTCTTTGTTATGGGCTATGGTTAGGAGTAAGGGTAGGGGGTAGGGTTAGGTCAAATAATGTAATATTTGCATTAAAAATGACATAACTGAGCGAATGACACTTAATGACAGTTGTCATAAACATGCATAAAACCTCCTTCATATTCATGACATGTCATGATTATGAAGGTGCCATGTCAGTCTTATGCACACCCCTTCAAGTAAAGTGTTACCACATTTTAACTAGAATTAAAATAAAAATCGAAACTGAAATTATTAACAAACTACAATAGCATCTCAATGATACTAAAATATTACTGACATATGGTGAGTAAATTATTACATAATTCACATTCAAAATAAGCCATTGAGGGGTTCAAAACTGCAATCTTCTAGTTACCAGCTCAGATCTTATCAAAAGAGCATGTTTCGTTTCACACTTGGAAGGATTATTCAGAGAAAACCACTACAAATGCATGATGTGGCCAAGCTGAAAAGATTTTAAAAGTAGTGCAGGTTGAGAGCAGGAGTACTTCCTTTTCTGTAGTGTGTCGGAGTGGGCCGGGGTATACTATTGATCCTGTGTGTATTCACAGAACATGGTCCACCTTCAGATTTTGCTTTTGAACAGCTCAGTGGTCATGACCCAGTGTCTGAAGGAGAGGAGATTACCAGAGACCGCCTTCACAAGGTGCAAAAGTCCCCCGGACAATGTGAGCACAAAGCGTGCACGTTATTCCAAACGGTGTTGAGAAAGACTAGCTTTTGACATAAATAGCCATTTCTTTGACAGTCAACGAATCGCAATGTGACAATGATTTGAATTCGGCTTTGGCTGACAATTATTCTACAGCACAACACCTCTTTCTTTGCTCAAAACACTATAATTTACAGGCTATAATAGCAGTAACAACTGCCACAGGGCCATGACTAATTCCTTTGCAAATGAGCAGTTTCTTCCTGCAGGGCAGCCCATTTTAACAGCGTCCACATCTGAAGTCTGAATACTGTCTGATTACTGAAATGCAGCTTGCTTTAATTTGAATTCAAGGCAGTTTAGAGGCCCTTTTGTTTATGTTGATAGAGACAGACCCTAGAGCATTGACTCCAAGATTTAAAGGCCAACAGAATATCTGCAATATTTCTGACATAGCTGCTCATTTTCAAACAATTTATTTACAGAAACTTGAAGTAAATCTGTTCAAATTATATAATAAAATAATTATAAACAATTAATTATTTATAGTTAAGACATACATAAATCTTAAAATATATACTTTAAAAAATGTAATTACATTTGATTATATTAATTTCCATGACCTTTCCCGGTCTAGAAATCAAACTTTTAAAACTCCAGATCATGAGAACCATGGTTTTGGAAAAACGAAAAAAGGGGAAAACATTAAGGGAACAAATAATAGCAAATATGATTTCAGCGAAAATGTGATTTTAGCTGATTCTAAACCTAGTTTTGTCTAATTTTAAATCATTTTAAGTGTGCTAGTAGGTCCCAGCCCCCTGAATGAGAACCACTGCCCTACAAGTTCATCTACAAAGACTTTCGCCAATGAATTGGTCATAATTAATCAAAAAAAGATTCATATGTTCAGCATACAGTATGTTGATTACTCATGCATTAACATTAATATTGCATAACTCAAAACTATGTATGAGAGTGTCTTATCATGCCATTAACGTGTTGTGTCGGTTTAGGATTCTGTCTACCGGTCTCCGTTACATCGGTCATTTCTACTCAGCATGCAAAGCCGTTTGCACAGATCTACCTTCCCTGCATACTGAACAGCCGCTCGTTCAGGCTTATGACACACACACATAAATGCACCGAGGTAAAGGAATGCCATCCCATTCATCACTTCAATCCATGACTGAATGCTTTACGTCTACAGCTGGATTTAGACAAGGTCATTTCAATGCCCTCTAACTACAAGGAATGACAGCTGCAAAGTTTTTCTGCTCGAATGCAACAATCACAATCCATTCTGCATGTGAACATTAAGGATGCAATGACTCACAGCATCCCTGAGGCACCAGGCCCAGATGTTAGCGTGAGAAGGTGAACCTCTTCTTATGAATTATGACAGACGTGATACACATGAGAGCTAAACAGACACAAGTTATGTAATAACAGGTCTGTAATGACTCACAGCATCCCTGAGGCACCAGGCCCAGATGTTAGCGTGAGAAGGTGAACCTCTGCTTATGAATTATGACAGACGTGATACACATGAGAGCTAAACAGACACAAGTTATGTAATAACAGGTCTGTAGTCAAGACTATAGCGCTCAATCAATATGAGCTTTTCATAAATAATAAAGAAATCAAGCCACTATTGTGTTGCCTTAGAGTAACGTGTTAATTTAACTCCTGTGGTGACTGAATCATACTCTTGGTTACAAGACTGCCAGTCTGTTTTCCAATGACGATATAATTCACCATGACACAGGAACACCAAGGGCAGCACGAGTCAGTCACAGATGATTGACAGATTGAGTCTCGTGCATGTTTGCCTGTTGCAAGCGTATCAGCGGTGAAGAACGGTGCCAATGCCTTGATCTACAGACAAGAAGAGGACTTGTTAGGCTGCTTTGCTGGAAAATCCATCTTAGGCTGCAGGGTCTCAAGCTGGTCAAACATGGTCTAAGTTGATCATTAGCACTGACAAGACTATCTTAGACCAGTAAACCGGCCTAAGGTGGTCAAGATGGCTTTAAGAATAAGACGGAAGTTTTAAATGGATTTTACAACAGCATTCTTATATTTTTTGCTTAGGAAATAAAGTTTACTGTGAGACCTACTCTTAGAAGAGTAATTAACCTAATTAATTAATAATTGAATATATTAAGTAAGTTGTGGGACCCCTTACAGGGATAATTCACTGAAAAGAAATGTTTAACTTTCCCTTGCTGAACATAAAAACCGAAATTCTGAAAAATGCTTTAGGTGATTGAACATGTAAAACATGCAGAAGCACCATAATAGTACAATGACAATAGTTTTGTGTGAGGAACAGATTAACATTTAGGTTATTCGCTATAATGTTCACTTCCATTGAGCTGATTATTGAGTCACTGATATGAGAGCTCTATCTGTAATACAAATGATTCACTGGAAGATTCAACACACATGACATTATGAATTCGGTTCTGTAGCCTACTCTAAAAACATTTTCATTAAACAGGGATTCACTTTCGTTACGTTCCTCACATTCATGCTCTCAAAGACTTTTAAGATACTTTTAAAATATATATTTTTATGCGGCTGGACATCTTCAGTCACCATTCATTTGCATATAAAAGACAGATCTGTTGTTTTCCGCAAAATATATACAGTCATACAGATCTGGAACAAAATGAGGGAAAGGGAATGATGACAGAAATATCATTTTGGGGTGAATTGTGATTTTAATGTGAATATCAATGTACTGAATATTCGCAGATAAATGGAACAGTAACGCTAAAAAAAAAAAAAAAGCATTCGTTTTCGGGACGTCGGTCTTCTAAATGACCGGTTAGCTTAGACAAATATCACGGCTGACCTTTCCTTTCTCGCATGAATGAGAGTTGAGATCCCCACACGGCGTTTTATAACTTCACAGCTCTGAAGCCACACGTACGAATGCAGAGCTGAACTGACGGGCTTCCTGCGGTGCAAAACCCAAAACGAGCTCAGATAAAAGCAGACACTCACCTAACTTTGGCTGCCACCGAAGAAATCGCATCATTTCTCAGATTCTTCCTTTTGGACACTGCAGTTCCCATGCTGGCATGGAAACGACGCTTGCAAGAAAACAGCACATTCCAGATGTCAAAGCATTGGAGAAAACGCGTGGGGAAAAAATGATGGAACGGGTTGGTTTTGGGATGCGGATCCTTTTGCGTTCACATGAAGGTCTGTTTATAGCATAGCGCAAAATTTCTGGAGGTGATGCGGGACAGAGGATGCTGCCGTCTCCTCTTGCTAGTGTCAACTAGTTAAAGAAAAAACACGCACGAGCAGATCCCTCCCCTCCCCTCCTCTCTCTCTTCATTGAGATAAGAAAGATACGACGGATTAAAGAGTGTTTATGGTGGTAGGAATGTGTGAGGGTCCAGACAGGAAACCCAGTGGGACCATATATGGAGCGACCACCCCTCCAATTCCGCCCACTCGTGAAGTGGGTCCAGCGCCAATGTCAGGTGCAGAATGAGCTGGAGTGACCGGAACACATGCATAAATACCGCACTCAGGGGCGTCATGCACTCATTTTTGAGGGGACACGAGTGGGGGGTGGGGGTCGACATGTGACGCACAGCAGCCACAATAGAACTTATGTTCTTAAGTTTTATTGTCTGTTTACGTAATTAACAGATTACAGTTATATATAGATATTTATCTATCCACTCATCCATCTCTCTGTACTCTACCTATCCATCCATCTGTCCATTCGTTCATCTATCTATCTATCTATCTAGCTCTCTGTCAATGCATGCATCCATCCATCCATCCCGTCTATCATCTGTCCGTCTGCCCATCCATCCCGTCTATCATCTGTCCATCTGCCCACCCATCCATCCATCCACCCATCCATCCCCCCCATCCATCCCGTCTATCATCTGTCCACCTGCCCATCCATCCATCCATCCATCCCGTCTATCATCTGTCCGTCTGCCCATCCACCCATCCATCCATCCATCCATGTCTATTGTCTGCCCATCCATCCATCCTCTCTGTATATCTATCCACTTATCCATCTGTCCGTCTATCTATCTATAAATACATTTATCATATATCTTGTATCGATCCCATCATCTATCCATATTCTGTCTATCCATTCATCCAACCATTTGTCATCTATCCACCCATCCATCCTTTTATCATCCATACATCTTTCCATACTCTCCATATCTAGCCATCTACACATCTGTCCAGTTATCTATACCCTATTAGTTCATTTATCATCTATCTTCTATCCATCCATCCATATTCTATCTGTTCATCCACCCATTTATCATCTACCCATCCATCTATCTATCTATCCATCCAGCCATCCATCTATAAAGGCTATACATCCATTTATCATCTATCCATCCACCCATTCTCCATCCATCCATCCATCCATCATCTCTGTATCTATCCATTTTTTAAATCTATTTATAGTGTAAAAAGTGTAATATAACTTAAAAGAATGCTTCAAGTGGTAATAGCGAATGTTAATTGGTATTGTCAAAAATCTTATTCGGTATGACTGAATCAACCTGCATACCATAGGTTAGATCAATTCAAGCAGAAATAGCTCACTGATCGATCCAATTCGTTAAATAAAAATCTTCACCTCACTTTTCCACATTTGCATGTGTGTATGTGTAACTTCTCAGGTTTTCAGACAATGCATGTAACTGTATCGTCATGCACACTCACACAGGCACTACACGCACACGTGTGGATTATAGCAGTGTGCCCTCGCTCCATAACAGCCTGTTAACTATCTGCGGTTACCTCACTGAAGCAGACAGACAACAGATGAACTGTTCCTCTGCTGTAGGACAGCTAGACAAACAAGTGCAGAAAACAGGGGCTTTAGTGTAGCAGCATCAGTAGAATCTAGATCCAAACGAAATATGCATTAGTGACTCAACTGTATACACTCAATCAATTATCTGATAAGGGTCACAAACGTGTTTTTTACCTATATTCTGTGTTTAGGCAAACACATGGTCTGTTTGTGTCATATAGGGAGACAGATGGAAAGAAGCAGAAGTCAGTTGGATTGAAGAACAGTAGGCTATATATTACAGTGCTTCTGGGTTTTTACTGTGGTCGACGCCGTTTTTTTTTAAAGTAAATAATCTGTGGTACAGCCCTGGGCTGCGAGTGTGCGTGGCGGGACTGCCGATGAAGGGAAGAAAAACAGAAATGAAAGAATGACAAAATGCCCTTTCTTTAACACAAGCACCAAGACGTGCAGCATGTACTGGCGATAAAGCCGATAGAATTTGTTAATTATCCCCACACAGACTTCAGTGGATGTTCACATCAGGCACAGCTAAGCGTTACAGATTAATTATTCAAAAAATGTATTAAAAATAATACCCCACCTCTGCATAATAGACTTCTTTTCCAACTGAATAAAACATCTTGTTTACTACTGGCAACATTGTCTGAAGCCTGAAGTTTTGGCAAAAAATGTCCTCTGAGAAGACAAATGTAAAATGAAAAAACTCATCACCTAATGCACACACACACAGACAAAACAAGCTTGACATTGAACTCGTGCTTTTTGGTCTTATTCTTTTAGATGATGATGAGGATGAAGAGGGAATTGGTGAAGCAATATGTTCCTCCGGACAGGATGCCCTCATCTGTGCTCTGGACAAAGTCTCTCTTTTTCCTCTCCCTCTCACACACCAGGATCATTTCGAGGGGGGCGCTGTTGTTCCCATCATTCACTGTCTGTTCCAACACAAATAACCTAACAAGGTCAGCCAAAACACTCGTACTCCATTACTCCGCTGGCTCATTGTGTGCCACTGCTACATCACATTTGTGTATCGACAGTCGCTAATAACGGCATGTGAAATCTCATAAACTCCCACTGACACCAGCAAGGAGAGCAATCCTTAAACCCTGTTGTGATAATTGCAACAGAGAGACCCTTATCTTCACCGCTTTGCATTATTTGAAACTTAATTTGAATAATGCAGTAATTGGTAATCGTGTAGGTACAACAGGCAAATGATCTAATTCAAATTGGCACAGCGTCTGTTTCAGCAAATATCTAGGAGAAACACGAATATATCTAATTGAATTCTTTAAGAATGTAAGAAATTGTAATGTAAAATTGACATACTTAAAATAAAATGCAAATATTTACACTATTATCCCACAGACCTTGCATGGCTTCACAGTAAAAGGCAGCATGCAGTATTGTACCTTAAAGGAATATTTAGAGATTTAATACATATAATGGCATACTACATAAGTGACAATGTTTATTATCACAAAAATTAATCTCTTGAACCTCCTTTTCTTTGGGTGAGATGCACCTGTATATGTGAGAGACTAACATTTACATTTAGACATTTAGTATGAAGAGAAAATGAAACCTTGATGTAGGTCAACTTACATTGCTTTAGACTCAACATTACACTCAGCCCTGCCAGTAATGAAAAGGCAATGGTGCAAATGAAAAGGCAATGATGCAAAATAAATTATTTTTTTAACAAATCCATTTACAGTAAAAGTAAGTGATTTTTGTGACAGGAAAAGTCACACACACATCATCCTCCAGATGACACCACTGTGAGGAGGCAGTGGTGTTGATTTATTTAGAAACCCAGGATGTACACATCATTAAACATATAATTACAGCGCAGATCCCCTGGATGCCTTTTGAGTCATATGCACACACCCCCAGACTCTCCACATCTCCTCTGAAACCTGTCACTACAGACCATCCTTAGTCACAAAGAAACGACGACAACGGAAGGACCACAAATTTTAACATCACTCCATGGCTTTGCAAACATTTTAATGGACAATTACAACACTGTTGTTATTTATGGCTTACAGCTGTTCGCTTCTAGTTATTTAGAATTTTATTAACAGTAATAGTGCATCGCAAAATAAAATGTTTATCAACATCAACGACCGTACCTACCCTGTATTATTTTCTCTTCTCCATGAAACACAAAGGTCAGGCAGAATGTCCGAGGTGCTCTGGTCCGATCAGTTTAAAACTGAATGATGATGAATACGGTTCAACTCCTAAAAAAGTTACAAAATAAATAAGTCAAATGCAAGTTATTCACTAAAATCGAAATCTCTTTGCAACAGCTGTGAAATCTCATTCCCTTGCTAATATTTCAACGAAAAATGTGTTATTACTTTTCTAAGCAATTAGACTAATGATTTTTGCCTGGTGGATTATAAAGCAGGTGAAAAAAAATCCCATACACTTACATTAAAAACAAACCAAGCCATGTCTACGGACATAAATATCATAAGAGACTTAAGTGTGGGCTAGAAACTAGCAAACACATAACAATGGCCAACCATCCTGAACAGCCCAGCTCAACATGAACAAGCAATTATATGCATTTTTCTAAAAAAGAAAAAAATATGAAAAAAGAATCACAATTTTTCTTTTTCAAGCATAGTAAATGGGTGGCCATTTAGCTAGCTTTACCTCTTTTACATAATACCTCCATGCCCTTTTGCCAAGTAGCGAGCCATGTGGAGAACAAAAACAAAGAACCTTCCAGACAGCAGTACAATGTCTACTTCAGAGAAGGTCAAACTCTCACATTCACTAAACTCCACCAGGCTGATTCAGACTGACAAATGGACAAAAGGCAAAGCACGCAAAAGCACACATACACCTGCGCACACACCCATGGCCATCTTTAGCTGACGCGGGGCCCGCTGCGAGGTAGAGGTAGCCCCCATCGGTCTGTTTGCGATCACGTTCCGGGGGCGGGGAATAATGTCTCAGGAAAGTGAAGTTAGCTGCCTAACTAAAAAAACTCAGCATTTGTTTTTAGATGCATCGAGATGACATCCAAAAAAGAGACCTAAATGTCCAGATACTTTATGGCACTAGGTCTACAAATGCATCAATTTGAAGCTGAACTTGCTCTATAACTGAGACTATGTGCCCTGATCTCACCTATCTCAACTGATACTGTCAAATAATGATACGGAGCTTTAAACCAATCTTTCTTTTATCATTTCTGAGTGAGTAAACCCAGACGCACAGATTTTCACAGGCTCTACCTAAAAATTTAATTGTGACATTAAATATAAGTCCTGTCAAGCTAAGGTCAAAGTCTAACAAGTTTACTTTAGGGATGGCCACGAGAAGTGACAGCAATACTGAAAAGACAATTGCACGACTTTTAAAAATTTCACACCAAATTGAGTCCATAATCTATAACTACATAAATGTGACAAAAAGTACCTTGTTTTCTCTGATTAGTTATAGTATCAGTACCCTGCAGTCATAATTAATCAGATTTATGATGCAATTTACATCAACATTGGCACTGTTTCAAATGACACTCGCAGCCCTTATAGTCGCATAGACCCTCCAAGCTTTGACAA